AAATTTTATTCTTCATTTTTCAACAACTCTTAATTTTTGGAATTTAATTAGAATAATATCTTTCATTCCAACCGTTTGAGTTGTACGTGATGTTTATAAGAAACTTTATTTCACGCATTGCTTTATAAATTATTCAGTGTTTTATCACTCATTACAGCCTATCAAAAGTCCACTGCATATATTTATATAGCATAGGCCTCCTTCATAGATTGGCTAATAGGGGAGGAGGGTTGCCATAATTGCCTTTATAGGAGGGTTGGCAACCAATTTATATAAACTATTTAACCCTTAAATGCATGATTTTTTAATTTTATTTGAAAAAATATGTAAATGATGTCTGAATGTATGCAAATGAATGGAAAAATAATTAAAAAATATTTGAGAAAGTTCAGTCCATGTTTTACGTTTTTGTCTCTGTATGATGCAGCCTACATTAGGCACTCCAAGCAAAAAGTTTATATGTACTAAGAAGTTTTATGCAGGAAGATTTTACTTAAAATTAAAAAGACAAAATATATGAATTAAACTTATTTATTATGATATTCTCTAAAACAATAATTTCTTTTATTATAACTAAGTAATATATTGCATTTTTCACATATTGTTCGTGTAAAACCAGTGGACTTAGGCATCTTACACCTGTTACTTTTGTCACAAAAAATTGGCCAGTGTGCCATTTGGTCTAGTCAAACATTTTTTACTGGTGCAACTTGGGAAAGGGCTTTCCTCTTCTTCGCTTAAATTTCCTGCTCTGGAGCTGAACTTGGCCTTCCTCTTTTTATATCATTTTTTCCCCATAAGGCAAAGGGTTTCAGCTACTTCTAGACGAAAGACGTCCAGGTTGCACAGTTTCTCATTTGAACTAGTTTTTTGTGACACAAGTTTTTTGTAAGCTAACCATGAATTAATCATGGCCAGGTCCAAGCAGTTATGGAACAATCGCATATACCATTTTCTATTTTTATGGTTATATGGTGTCTTCCTATATAACTATCCATCAAATCTACGCCTCCCATGTGGGAGTTGTAATCTTTGACTATCAGTGGGCAGTCAATTAGATTTTTTTCTTTTTTAGACTTATCATATCTATTTGAAATAAACAAGAATCTGTGTATCATACATCTATTTAAATAAGGGTTTATTTAATCTCCTTATCGGTTAACATTTTCTGCGAAGGTTTCAAGAACTTTTATGATTGATTATAAGAAACCAAATTTATTTTGTATTGAAGTTGAAGATGTAATAAATATTCCAAGTGAGAACTTCGTCTTTTATGGCCATTTATTAAACCTATTTTTTTTTAATTATGGTTAGTATTTAAGTTGTGTTAATACAATGAATTATGTCAATACTACTTATCTATTTAGCAGAGAACAATTCGAGCCCAAAGTAATTTTTGAAAACATATGTGATAGTAAAGAAATAAATTAATGTTAATTATTTTATCGTTATTTTATTTACGTTTTTGAACCGATTTCAAATAGGGAGGTGGCCCTCAATTCGTCGGAATCTTTTTTATTTTTTATGTATGTTCACTGATTTACTCAGACACCTAAACCGATTCGGAAAATTCTTTTTTTATTTGAAAGCTGATGCTTCTTGTGTAGTCTGATATGCGAGGCTTTTGAAATTAAAAAAACATCCTAATTTCAATAGAGAAGATGGATGGGTGCGGCCATCTGCTTGGGATTCTATAATTAACAAAATTAAACCCAAACCCAAGCACGCCACTGCAAGACTTCAAGATACTGTAAGCACGTTCTGCGTAGATCGGACTGAAAATTAATAAAGTAGTTAATTAAACGCGATAAAATCCGTAAATATAGTTTTATTCAATGTGTAGTGTTCGCGTAAATTCAATAAATCATAATGCGTAGTTAATTGATTTCGAATACATTGATGATGTTCTTATTTTATTTATATTGAAGTCGATTGTACAAAGTGTTTATTTTACCACTTGTAAATAATCAAGTTAAAATGTTAATTTTAAGGTTAAAAGCTTTTTTCTTTTTGCTTTTTTAGCTTTGCTTCGAAAGCAGAAGCTTTTTAATTCCCTGCACCGGGTGTAGGGCAGAAGTGCGGTAGTCTAGAAGAAAGGCGACAACGCTCTATTGAAAAACTAGACAGTATATAATTTCCAAGCCGCGAATACATGCCGTTTTTGAGAGTCATTCCAACCGTCTCACACGCAGACTTGACACGTTTCAGCCGATATCCCATATTTTCTTACCTTAGACCACGTCTATAACCTTCGGGAAATCGTAAAGACCGTAAAGTAGTTTGATTTACTTAAGTAGATAATGAGAATGTCTGATTCTATGATATACGCAAATATTATTAAATTCTATAAGTTACACACACATAGAATAAATGGAGACAGGTTCCTAATTTCTCATTTACAATAATTTGCGTCATTATTGTGGACAATAAAAGGTAAACAGGAAAAGAAAATAATTTAAAAAGCACGTTTCCAACAATTTATTGATTTACAAGATGAATACCACCATTTTTTTCTCCATTCCGTAACAGGTATATATTAAACCCCATACCTAATAAATGTCTAAGTTATGTATTCTTGCATTACGCAAACTATTTTCCTATTTACAGAGACTATCTACAATTGCTTTATAAAATGACACCAAGAACTAGGGCGCGTCGCTTACAGTAAAGTAATATACCTAACTACAATTTTAAATCCGAGTAAACAAACCTCGTTTTAAATGTAACTGAATGTTACTACCAACAGAATTTAGACATTTGCAAAACGGGTCCGAATACACGGCATCACGTCACCAATGTAGCACCGGCGTTTATGAAAATGAAAGGAGGGCATCAAACCTAGTTCGAACGACAATCGTTCACTTAACTGATTAAATGCAAACCTGATTATTGCGTGTCATACGCATTCGGTTTGCACCAGCCTTTAAAATAGCCAGTGACAAAACGTTATCAAAAAGTATCATTAAATTTGTCACCATGAAGTTTAGAGAACAGGAGAACGATCGCCGTAGAAAATAGTGTCCCAGAAATATGGACACCATAAGTGAGGCGCTGCGATCACTAAGTTCGGTTAATAAAAGTCATTTTCAGTCTATTTTTCCGATCGGATGCTAAACCACTTGCGCTTCCACGTACAATAAAATATTTCTCCATTTTTTAATGTTTCTTTTTGTCAAAAATTACAAAATTACGGAGCATGAAAATTTTCTCACCAATGCCGCGGAGAAAATTTGTACATTATTCAACTAACTTTATCTACTTGTACTCATAAACAGCTAACTTCGCAGTCACTACTCACCGACGTCAGCGCCGCTATACATTCTACAATTTTCAAGGACAGGCGGGCTATGCTTTAGTACGTAGTGATCGTTCTCCTGTTCTCTAACCTTCATGTTTGTCACTATATAGACATAACTTGCACACTTTACTAAAGATATGAAAAATGCACCTAGTACGTAATTTACTCGTATAAATGAAATAAAAAAGTGTAAATACGTTATACGCAATACAATGCTCATCAATAATCATTCTAAAGTAATCGTGACAGCAACGCACTACAAAATACATGTATATAAAATATTATAAATAATTTAGACAATAAAATCACACGATCGAATGATATTATGTTAAAAAGAAAGACGGTTTTTCCGGACCGATACGACTTGGGGACTTTAAAGAAAAGAGCTTACTCCTTTCTAAAAGGCCGGCAACGCACCTGCAATTCCCCTGGTGTTGTGGTTGATCATGGGCGGCGGTAGTCACTTAACATCAGGTGAGCCGCATGCTCGTTTGCCCCCTCTTCTATGAAAAAAGAAAGGCAGTGCGCGGTCATTGCAAATCCAACTGTGCCAGCACAGTTTTATGTATTTAGTTACGTGACGCAATTAACGTATTTACACCTTTCAAATACCGTTTGTTTTAAAAGTTAGTTACATTAATTTAATAAGAAAGTTTAACCAATTAAAGACTTTCATCTTTACAAAAAGAAAATACTGAACAATGACATAATGTAGAAATATAAGTGTAATATTACTACGGCATTATCATAAAATATTGTGTGTCCATAACTGAAACTTTTACCATATGCCCCAGTCACATCAATCGATTAACAATATAAAATAGCAGGAAAAGAATAATGGTTAAGTAACGAAAATGTGTACATATTTTTTATATGAATGTAGTCTTTAATATAATTAATAAAAGCATTCTAAATGCGATATGGTTGTATTCAAGTTTTTTTACATGAAAATTAGAGCACCAATGAAAAACTAGAATTAATTATAATTTCTTCACAATGCTTGAGAAAAAGCTACAATTTTCTGTATAGTCTTGGAATGGTATTAAAATATATTTACATAGGTTCTTAGTAAAGATTCGAAAAATATACATATATATTTGTTTCTGATTTATATACAAAGCACAGTAAATAGCTTTTAAATTTTGGTAGACACTTACAGCCTTACTTATAAAAAATGACGTCACTTTAAGAAATGCATAAAGTTGCTTCTCCTCTCTTTTCACTATATGACAATAGAAAAAGACAGATATAATGTAAGTAAGCGATAATCAACGATTATATAAATAAGGCCGTTAATGATTATATAGAATTGAAAAACGCCATTTTTATCTTTTTTTTTTAATTTTGAAAATAAAACTCGAAAATAACTAAGTATTGTCGAATTTAATGAACAATCCAATGAAACAAAAAACTTAACTTTAATCCCAAATTACAATTTTTGTCTATATAATATCTCCCAATCCTAGTTTTTGATATAAAAAAATATTTTTCAGTAACCAGGCCCATAATAGCTTAGAGGTGCGGTAAATAATTATTGAATTTGGCAATTGATACTTTGTACAAGATTTTCTTCCGAAAAGTACTCTTAGAAAGTGTAGAACATTTTTTAGAAGCCTGAAATAAAATCACCTGTTTGCTTTTACTACAGGTCTTTGATCAATACTAAAGACTAGTAAGCAAAGCCCCATGTTTGATGACAGAATTAGCTTAAGTGCACCTTTTCCCGCAATAACATTAGTGGAATTTTGTTTTCCTGTAAAAAAAAATTACTCATGAGTGAAGTGGATTAACATTTATGCACGATTATCTACATCTTTAGGATATTGTTAGAAAATATACATTCGTTTTCTGCATGGGACTCCGTTCGTGGGAGGTTATTATATTGTTGCGGGCCACAGTTGATATTGGGTACGTGGCGCTAGCGCCATCTATTATCAAATAGAAGAACTAAGCTTTCTAGAAAACTTTTGTTGTGGTAAAGCCATGCTGCAGTTATATTAGTAGTATAGTTGTAGCACGAATGGGTCGGCTCGACCGGGGAAGGACCACCCTTTCACAGAATACCAGTGTGAAATGGTAGCTTGATGCTGCTGTGTTTCGTATGGTGAGTGTAGAGAGCCGGAGACCCTTTTTAACTGGAAATGAGGCATTCCATCACGGGTGACAACGCATCTGCATTTTGATTCTGTTTCGATAAATGCAGATGTCTATGGGCCACAGCAACCACTTACCATCAGGTGGACTGTGTGCTCGTTTGTCACTCTATCCTATAAAAAAAATCCACTCTCGAATTTTCTACATCTAGTCGGTCGGGACCGGTATTTGCTGGAACATTATAGATGTTTCGGTGGAAAATGTCTATATAAAGCCATTTAGGGCCGCGACCGGAGCAGTATTGAATCGGCGACACGAGCGAAGCTTTCGAAGCGAAATAGCGAACCAAAAAAAAAGTTAAGTGTGATTAATTATTAGTGTGATTTAAGTTTTAATTGGTGTTCAGTAATTAAAGTGTCAAATTTTGGTAATTCAATCGGCAGTTTTTACTGTCGCGAACCCTAAGCTCGTAACAATATATTATTATATACCACCCCCCTACTATAGCGTCAAATAGCAGTGAGTGCACTGCTGTGTTCCGCTTTTGAGGGTATAGAGTCTATATAATTACAGGCTGTGAGACCCTCTTGCTGCTCCGAGATGACATCGCATCTGTAGCCTTCTTATGAAGGCTGTAAGTGTCGTGGACTACAGTAGACACTTACCGTCAGGTGCAAGCACTATTAGTTTGTTTGTTACGCGTTTTATAAAAAAAAATATCGTAAAAGAAATACTCTGTGGCACATAACTCAAAATCTCATAAAATACCAGAGTAAAAATAGTGCAGTAAGCAGTCTGAGCCTCTAATATCTGAAGATCACGAAGCAAAAAAAACGCTGCTCCAGTGTAAAGTGGAACACTTCGCACGCCCTTGGAATATTATTAAAATGTAAAGTAAAGTTACAGCCTATATACGTCCCACAGCTGGGCACAGGCCTCCTCTCATTTCTGAGAGGGTTTTAGGACAAGGAATAGTCCGCCGCGCTGCCCCAATGCGTGTTGGCGAACTTCACATGTCTCCGAAATATTATTTTTCTTATTTCTCAGACATGCAGGTTTCCTCACGATGTTTTCCTTCACCGCCGAGCACGTGGCAAATCAGCACTTAAAATTGCAATTAACAATTTCGTTGGTGCCGGCGGGGATCGAACTCGGTTTGCTCGGGTATTGGTAAATTTACAGCGAGCGCTAGCCATCTGAGCTACCACGGCTCAATTATTAAAGTGTAACCCCATCATAATATTTTCCTTCTCAACAAAACACATGTTAAATATTTTTTATACAGAATATAGGTCACAAACGAACACACAGTCCACATGAAGTGGATGCTGTGGCCCATAAACATCTACATTTATTTTTCCTCGATTAAGAATCAAAATTCAGATGCGTTGTCTCCGGTTCTCTACCCTCACCATACGAAACACAACAGCATTAAGCCACTATTTGACGCTGGTATTCTGTGAGAGCGTGGTCTCTCCCCGGTCAAGCAGACCCATTTGTGCTACAAAAATAATGTACCTGCGGCATGGCTCTACCATGTACTTTCCAGGTCTAAAAATATTAGTGTTTTAAAAAACTTAAACAGCACACGTTGATAAGCTGGGTTAACTTTAGTAAGAACACTAGGTTATTGTTACAAAAGTATTATTTTGTCAAAATTGAATTATAAAATTTCCTTAAATTCAACATACACGCATATTAAGAACTTGTAAGTTCCTGATATACATGGACAACATGTAGGTCAAGCTAATAAAGTGTGTAAAATAAGGCCTGTTCTTGAAATAATACTAGTTTTTACGGAATTTATCGCGTATACGTTACGCGATAAATTCCGTAAAAACTAGTATTATTTCAATGTGTAGTGTTCTCGTAAATATAGGAAATCATTAAGGCCTGTTCTTTTTCTTCATAATCACTTATTTTTCGATGAAAAGAAATATAACTTCATTTTTCATCATAAGAAATTAAAATTTTGTTCATCACATGTCAACAACCTACTACCGTTTCAAAGCCTATCCCCTTTCAGTCTTTTTTAAAATGCCAATATATCGAATCAAAAGGAATAGACCCATAGCAAATCAAAGCATGTTTCATAAATAATATAAATTACATAACAAAAAACCTAAACGTACCACCAAACCCAATAAAACCAGTACAAGCAGCACCTGTGTCAATTCAATTGGTTATTGTCTAACATTATATACACTGACTGACTTTGTTGACTGACTGATGTTGAACTAAAAAAAATGCATAAACATGAAGAATGCTCCATTTCAATAAAATTATTTCTTGCTCTTGATGACATATAGAGGCTACATGATTTTTACCAATATTAAGAAGGATTTGCTTACCTACTTACTTAGCTATAAATATAAATGTTGGGTTGAGAATTTTACCTTACCTTTTCACACGTCTTCCTGTTTACTGCAATATATTTAAAGTCATCAGTGTGATTGGATCTTGTATCTATATACTAGCACACTGGCCACACCCACTAATAGACTTAACAAAAACGAACCCCAAACGAACATCTGCAAATAGGTAAAAAAAAAATTTTGTTTATTTATTATACAGGGTTATTTTGCAAGCTATGCCTAAATTTGCAGAGGAGGTTCAGAATAAATCAGTCAGGAAAAATAAATAAAAACAAAATCTCGAACATTCTGTCCTTTTAAATTCAGAATGCTTTGAAATGCATTTTATCTGCTTATCATCCTAAATATCCAACGCCTACTACTTTACTAACCACGCCCACATTTGTAAGGGTCGCTCGGTTACAAATTTAGGCACCTTGTCAGGCGTCTTCCCGCGCCCTTCTCTTCAGTCAACCGTTATACCCATGGAGGTTAGAGAACAGGAGAACGATCGCCGTAGAAAATAGTGTCTCAGAAATATGGACACCATAAGTGAGGCGCTGCGATCGCTAAGTTCGCTCAATAAAAGTCATTTTCAGTCTATTTTTCCGATCAGATGCTAAACCACTTGCACATCCACGTACAATAAAATATTTCTCCATTTATTAATGTTTTTTTGTCAAAAATTACAAAATTACGGAGCATGAAAATTTTCTCACCAATGCCGCGGAGAAAATTTGTACATTATTCAACTAACTTCATCTACTTGTACTCATAAACAGCTAACTTCGCAGTCACTACTCACCGACGTCAGCGCCGCTATAAGTTCTAAAATTTTCAAGGACGGGTGGGCTATGCTTTAGTATGTAGCGATCATTCTCCTGTTCTTTAACCTCCATGTTTATACCGCTAGGTACCTAAGTCCGCCCGGCCGACCGACAGCTGGCAGTGTTGACCGTGACCTCATTACCCTTTAGACTTTTATTTATTTATTTTATCTTCATTATACACCTTATATACTAAGGGATATAAAGGGCGGACTTAATGCCTTATGGCATTCTCTGCCAGTCAACCCTGGATGATTTGAGAAACTGTGGCAGGTGTAATCAATCACTTCATAAATAAATAATAATGATATAAAACAAAATAAAATGCAAATGAATAGAATAGATATATAGTTAGTAAAATATACATACTTATTAATATATAATATAGGATAAATAATAAATATATAAACGGGTACTTCTATACAAAACTATAAGTAAATAAAATATTATGAGACAAAAATAAAATAACACAATACATATTAAAATACATTATACAAAATATTACTTATAAAGTGAAAGAGAAAAAAACACAAAAACAATAGTCGGATAGTCAGGTGGTATTATTCTTACGACAGAATTCTCGAACTAGTCTTTTAAAATAATTCTTGTTATTATTTTTCTTGATATAAACAGACAAGGCATTCCAGAGCAGTATAGACTGCACAGTAAAAGAGGTATTATAGAAACCACTCCTATGTGGTGGAATACCAATTTTAAGACAATTTTGGGAACGGGGAACTCTATCGTTAATGGAATACAAATATTGAAAGTTATCCTTAAGATAAGAAGGAGAATTGGGGTCATTTAAAATTGAATGTAGTACTTGCAAAGTTCGGAAGCTACGCCTTTGACGAATAGATAGCCATTTAAGCTTAGATCGGTACTGGGAAATATGGTCATACTTACGTAAGCCGAAAATGAATCTAATGCAATTGTTGAGAAGGCGCTCCAACTTATCGAGAAGATATTGAGATAGATCTGGGTAACACACATCCGCATAATCAATAATCAATAATGGGTAATATCAAAGTCTGGATTACTTTTATCTGTGTCCAAAGTTATGAAGTCCGCCGCAGCAAAATTATTGCATACACGGAAGTTCATTTGGGAGACACTTTGAGAAATAACCCTACGTAATTTCATATGATTATTAAAAAAATATTTGATAAATATGTCTTTTAATTATTTCTTTTTTTCTACACAGAACAATTATTCAGCAAAATAATCATCTAAATAAAGAGCCATATGGCTTAGGGGCTAAGCGATAACCGAAAATTTCACAAATCGCGAGCAATCTTTAAGCGACAGTAGCCTAATGGAGGGGCGCGTACCGCGAACTCAAAAAGGTCGTGTGTTCGAATCCACCGTTCGACTACTGGCGTGAACCACTCGTAACACAAGCAATTTAAGCTTACCACGAATGGTTAAGGGGACTATTAGTAATATTTATAGCATTGTTAATATTCTTTTTTAAAAAAGAAAAAAAAATCTGATTTTGATCTTGGCCGGCACCAAAAATTTTAAGTATTCATTTACAATATACACACACTCACTCACATACAAACACGCGCGCGCGCGCATTCAGGCTTATGTTGCTTAAGTTGCTTTGGCTGATTTATAAATGTAAATAAATAAGTATATTAAGTCATTTTTGTTAGACCACATATATTATTGTTACTTATATATTTTTATTTTGTTTCGTAATTATTATTTATTAAGTTTTCTTGTAAGAAATGACCTATTTTAAGGAAGAGCAGTGTCCCCTGGCACAGGCTGATTCAAGCTTAAAAGGAGACACTGGTCACATATATTCTAAGTACTTAAACTGTTACAGCAAATAAAACATTATTATTATTATGGGGTATCTATATAGTTTTCTCATCTGGTTGGGTGCTATAAATATATAATTATAAATGAAAATGACAAGACAAATATACATAAATATCAATAACATAAAATAAATATAAAAGTACATAAATAAATAAAAGCCCAACCAGATGGAGGCCCTCGGCAGGGGAGACCAAACGGCCGAGGGTTAGGGGGAAAGGGAAAGAAACCGGCGGACGATGCGGGCGGTATCGAGGAGCACCGCCTTCTGCATTTGAACCTGGAGCGGTCCGCCACGTAGTCCCAGCCGCCTCAGATGACCCGAGAGGCTGACTGGGATTATTATTATTATTATTATTTACAATGTTTGCGGCGGGCTCATGGCTACATCATAATCACTACAGCTCATTACAAGTCCACTGTATCCATCAACTTCCTACATTTCACAGAATACCAGCATAAAATAGTAGCTTAATGCTGTTGTGTCTCGTATGGTAAGTGTAGAGAAATAGAGACCCATTTTATTGGAGTCGAGGCATTCCATCTTAGTCCTCAAGGGTGACAACGCATCTGCATTTTGATTCTTAATCGAGGTTAAATGTATATATCTATGGGCCACAGCATCCACTTACCATCAGATGGATTATATGTTCCTTTGTCACCCTTATCCTACTCCATCTAGAGCGGGCCGCCCTACTCTCCGCTTTTCGTTACGAGGCTGTCACCCGAGAACCTCCCACCAAATGGATGTATGAGCTATGCCACTACTGAGCCATTGCTACTTCAGCTTACTGATCCGATGGGCTATGTCGGTCACTCTGGTTCTACTGCGAATATTCCCATTTATGAGTTTATCATGCAGAGAAACTCTGAGCACAACACTCTCTATAGCTCGCTGTGACCGAGGTTCCTCAGACGGGCAGCAGTGAAGGACCACATGCTACAAAACCTCTCAGAAATGAGAGGAGGCTTGTGGACATGTAACATAGTCTGTTACTTTTATACTTTCAGGTTCCATTCAAAAGGAGCAATTAAACCATTTTATTCTTTGCGTGTCATGGTGTTGAAACCATTACGCTTACGCTAGATGTATAATATTTAGAGCAGCAACAGGCAGCAACATCAAAGGTGCAAGATGTCTGGTACAGCAGCCATCAATAAAAATGTAACAATAAAGGCTTAATTTTTCATACAATGCGAGTAGCCCATGTTCAATAGTGAACTTTTATTGACTAATGAAAAAGAAGCTAAACCTATGACCATTTTCCCTGAAAAGTATAAATTTTATATAATTTCAAAACTATTTAAAATTTAGAACTGCAAAGATGCATAAGAATATAACAGACAGATATAAATTTATTATATATTTTGAAAATGGACCACATTAGGAGTACCCTTAACCGACGAGCGTGTATGCGTAGATATATGGATGTAAAGGAGGCGAGAGAGGTATGTTAGGATCGTGCCAAATGGAAGTCTGTAGTGTCTGCCTACCCCTCTGGATGACAGGCGTGAGTGTTAATATATAAATCTAAATTTATACTCTTAACATTATTATTGATTATTTCATTACGGACTAACAAAAAGTTGGTCTTAAAGGGGACATTTTGCCATTTGCCATATTTGGCAGACGAGTTTGCAACAGCTGTATTTTATTATGTAACGTTGTTATTAGAAAGATGTTGCTGTCCAACACCATAACAGAATCCATCAACCCATAATGGCGATGATATTTTTTTATAGAATACGGGTGACAAACGAGCACAGTCCATCTGATGCTAAGTGGATACTGTGGCCCATAGACATCCACATTTATCCTAGATTAAGAATCAAAATGCAGATGCCTTGTCACACCTGAGGATTAAGATGGAATGACTTGTTAATAGAATCAAGCGTTACTGTGCGGATTTCTATTATTCTAAAGATATAAAGACTTACTTGCTTTTTATTTTATTTTATCGAGCAGATGATTGCAAAGTAAGTCTAAATTTTTTAATATCTTTAGGAATTATCTTGTTTCCAGTAGAAAATGGTCTCCGGATCTCTACACTCACCATACGAAACACAACAGTATTAAGCTGCTATTATAAGCTGGTATTCTGAGAGCATGATTCCTCCCCGGTCGAGCCAACCTCTTCGTGCTATAGCTGTACTACATATTACAACCGTAATATAGCTGCAGCATGGCTCTACCACGTATAAACCGCACGATATACCGCGGAGATGAATTATAGAAATGCCGGAAAGATCTCGTTTTACCCGTGGTAAATGGTCATATAACTGGTTCATTTATGTACCCAATCTAAGATACCTAGGACTGTGACAGAAAATAGCGTCAAACGTGCTAGGGCCAACAATGTACTATTTATTGCCTTGTTTGTTAACAGGGCCGTTTTAGACCGGCCTCTGCCCTAGAGCGGCCAAGTTTGTGAGCCTTCAAAAAGTAAACTAAACTGAACCCTGAGCTGTTGAAACACATGTCTACATAATATCAAATCAAAAAACATTCTTTGTTTCTTGCATGCAGCCCACAGGCCCTGGAGATTTTTCCCATAATATTCTCTTAAAATAAAGTCAGAACTGCTTAATGATGATCAAAGTTATACTACCTTTCTCAATAAGCAATATTCTTACATTATTTATTTATTCATTCATCACACTATATCAAAAGTCAACCTCCATACATAGGCAGGCCTTACCTGTAGAATGAATCATAGGGGGATATTTGCCATGATTGCCATGCTTGCCAGGCGGGTTGTCAACTGCATGTAATTTTTTATTTTTACCTGTTATCAAGAAGATGCTACTGCCCATCTACAGTTTCAGTTTCATTTTCCATAATCATCTCTTACGACATCCACAGGATAATATTATGGTGGATTTTTAAATATGTATTTAATATTTGATTGAAAAAGGGAACAAAGATTAGAGATTAAATTTACATTCATTCATTAACAATCATGTCAAAATTATTAAGTTACTCTCACTTTAGCTCTAGAAGGTTTTTTATCTGGCGATGATTCAGGCTTACGGTGGTGTACAGCGCCCAGCATGCGCTGGGCGAGACGTCTCTCAACAGATCTGTCCCTGGTGGCCTTCAGTTCACAACGCTGTAGCTCCTTACGGGCCCCGGAGTCCTCAGGTGCGGCAGCAGCTGCAGCTTTGGCTGCTTCCAAAGCCTCTGAGTTTCGACCCATCGCCGATAGAATTCGGGACTTGCGATAAAGTGCCTTTGCATTTTTAGGTTGACAAGTCAGAACTCTTGTCACAGCCTGAAAAGCATTTTTAAATAAAGTAAATATTAAGAAATAGGTTACCATACAAAGAACTTAAACAAAGATGTCATCATTATCTATACTTGGTAAAGCCACGCTGCAGCTATATTATATGTAGTTACAGCACGAATGGGTCGGCTCGATCAGGGAAGGACTACGCTTTCACAGAATGCCAGCGTAATATAGCATCTTAAAACTGCTGTCTTTCTTATAGTAAGCGTAGAGAACTGGGGACCCTTTTTAGTGGAAACGAGGCTTTCCACCCTCAGGTTCTAGGTCCTAGTCCTCCAGGGGTGACAACGCATCTGCATTTCGATTGTTAACTGAGGATAGATTTAAATGTCTATGAGCCACAATATCCATATAAATATAAATATGAAACTCGACATCAAGTAGATTGTGTGCTAATTTGGGTGACAAACTATTATTATTTTCTAAAAAAAATCTATCAGAAAATTTAAGGCTTCAAATATGTTTCCTCTTCAAGATTTACATAGACACATATGCATGAAGCATAAAGAGAATTTTAAATATCATCATAATATAACAAGCCTCAAAGCTGTTTGCCCAAATATATGTGTGGCTCTCCTTATGAAACCAAATGATACTCAATACTTGGTTACCCAATAAAACATTCATCTATTAGTGTAGGACTTGCAAAGAAAGGCATTTAATAAATACAATTTTAAGAAATTAAGAGATTTTATCACCTGTAATGCTGCATCATAAGCACCAGCCTTTAATTGAGCCGCAGCCATGTTGTTATGGACCCTAAGACGTTCCTCCAACAGGTCTTGCAAAGCATCTGAGGTAGGTGCAAAATCACCAGAGGGTGTGGGATCTGATATACCACCCTCACTTTCATCTAATACGTCAAGTGCGCGACGGTATAGCTGAATAGCTAGTTGTGACTCACCACGGCCATACCACCAGTTACCTCGAGTACGACGACGGGTACTAAAAACAGTTGATAAGTTAAATCCGTTCGTTATTTTTAGAATCGATAAATAGATAAATATAAATGTTAAATGATAAAAGATCTTAATAATGAGCAAACAGATAAACCCTAAGTTTACTAAGGAATCAAATTGTTACCAATACATTCAAATTTCTGTTTATTAGCGGTGTCAGAATATCCACCATACCATGTTATCCAATGAGCGTCGTAAAAGGCGACAGAGAGAAATAAATCAGATGGGCAGCAGCATCTTCCTAATAACTAAATATATAAATAACTGGAGTTGCCAACCAGCTTGCCAAGCATGGCAACTATGTACTTTAGTAGGTAACAGTAACATTAAAATTAAAATTCTATAAGTGAAACAGTCTGATTTGTAAATTAATAAATATGGACTACCTCAGACAAATACTAATTCAACCTAAACGTTTATAGTTCAACTACGTACCCAATTTCCATCCGTTCAGCCATAGACAAGGTTTCATGTTCAGGTTCTTCTGCCCAGTCGTGGAGCTCAAGTTTGACTTCCAGCCATGTATCTGGTCCGATTACTGGGCCATCATATTTAAGTCCATCAACTTCACCTACTAAGCCCAAGCTGTCACCAGGTTTTAGACCATAATCTCCATAACCAAAACGTGGAGCCATATAGAGAAGACAAGCTTCTCCTTTATACATAAGGGTCAATGCTAAATCTAATCCTTGAAGGACCTGAAATTGATTTAGTTTATCACTGAAAACATTTTGTATTTATGTGTAAATATAAATTTATTGACACATTTTATCATAGCTAAGTGCCATGTAAGTTAGGAAAGCTGTAATGAAGTTTTTGTTTGTTAAAAAGAAATACAAAGCCTAAAGGTGGAATTATTGTGTTGGAACATGTCGTCAGTTCCATACATTTAGTATGATTAGAATTACATTACTAAAGTACCACAGTACAGTGTAATGACGACGATCACTTGATTCCGATCAGCGACAGAACGGTAGTGAGGGTTATGATATGTTATAACTCTTCACACTAGTAGTATATTAATATGTTTCTGAGAAACTCGCACAATACTAGCGCAGTTAACTAGCCACAGAATGGAAGTTTGCATTTATTTTTTCATTGCACAAGATGTCCGACGAACCTATTGAACTCGTTCGAAAATACGAAGTGTAATCCAAAATGTAAAGACTACAAAGATCACCTATTAAAACTGCAGCATGGAAATAAATTGCTGTGTACATTCTATAATTTAAATTTTAATTAATATTTCCAAAGTCGCATGTCGCTTCGCTGTCGGTAAACTCTCGCACATTAAAGCGCTTTATCGCGATGAACTTCGCTCGTGCGGCCACACTTTAAACCGCTCACAGACATCGTGCGTAGCGGGCGTGTATATTTAAATTAGGATTTACAACGTATTTTCGACACTGACAATTTTTAGCAGTAATAAATAATTTTGAGACATTTTGAATAAATAATGCAGACGTCTAAAGCTGTCCCTGTTGCCAAAAACGTAGTAAAAAATAATCATTCGATGTCATATAATATAGAGTAACCGCAGTGTTTTATACGTGGTAGAGCCATGCTGCAGTTATATTAGTAGTATAGTTGTACACGTGGGTGTATAGTGCTCGACCGGGGAAAGACAACGCTCTCACAGAATACCAGCGTGAAATAGTAGCTTAACGCTGCTGTGTTTCGTATGGTGAGTGTAGAGACCGGAGACCCTTTTTACTGGAAACGAGGCATTCCATCTTAGTCCTCACGGGTGACAACGCATCTGCATTTTGATTCGTAATCGAGGATAGATGTAGATGTCTATGGGCCGCAGTAACTACTTACCATCAGGTGAACTATGTGCTCGTTTGTCACCCTATCCTATAAAAAAAGTGTCCATTTTGTGTTTAAACCATCGAAGCCTTCAACCTTCTCTGTAGACTGAAGGAGAAATTTTATCGCCGGATTTCTATCGCGATGTGTGTGGCCTAGGCATAAGAATAACTGCTTTTACATAATAAACATATTATGATTTGTGATTTGATTGTAAGTTATGAAACAAAAACTCAATAATGATATGAAAATTTTCATCCTTCTTAATTCTCATTTATAACAAAAAATTACTACAACTGCACAATATACAAGAAATTTCTAGATACTCATATTGTGTTTAAAAAAACTATGGTTATTTACTTACTTCATTATCACCTAAGTATGTTTTAACTTGATCCCTCTTTTCTAAAACATCTCCATTACCATTCTTAATCTTAATTTCATAACTAATCCTGCAAATATCACTTCTTTGTGGTCTTAAACCTTCTGATTCATCACCCTGTTTTATTATCTGTAAAAATATGATACAATGTTACAACTAGTATCATCCACCGTACATTCAGCCTTCGGCAAAAATCAGCCGAAGAAAAGCCTAAGGCTTGCATAAAAAACCAAAAAAAAATTTGTACTAGTATCATCCACCGTACATTCAAGCCTTCGGCAAAAATCAGCCGAAGAAAAGCCTAAGGCTTGCATAAAAAACCCAAAAAAAATTGTACTAGTATCATCCACCGTACTAGCCTTCGGCGAAAATCAGCCGAAGAAAAGCCTGGCTTGCATAAAAAACCAAATTTGTAAGAACGTTTCAGCCTTCGGCAAAATCACCGAAGAAAAGCCTAAGGCTTGCATAAAAAACCAAAAAAAAATTACTAATAGTATCATCCACCGTACATTCAGCCTTCGGCAAAAATCAGCCGAAGAAAAGCCTAAGGCTTGCATAAAAAACCAAAAAAAAATTTGTACTAGTATCATCCACCGTACATTCAGCCTTCGGCAAAAATCAGCCGAAGAAAAGCCTAAGGCTTGCATAAAAAACCAAAAAAAAAATTGTAATTACATCTGTGTGGCATCATATTTTACCATTAGGATAATTCCAAATGTCAATTTGTATACAATACAATATTTGTCTTTTTAAAATCATTATTCTTGTGTTCATTATTTCTTCATTTTTAAATTATTATTGTGTACTCCTTTAGTCTGTCTTGTGTACTTTTAGAAAAGCCCAGTAAAGAGTGTAGCTGTAGAGTGAAGTCAATTCTAAGAAAACTTATTTAAGTATTTATTTTAATAAATAAATGAGTTTTCTAAGAATTGATTATTATTGAAATTTTTGAAAGAATTGACTATTATTGAATTATTGAAATATGAAAAAAAATATATAATACCATAATAAAATAATTATTATAACGACAAAGTATGTAATTATTATTGTTTTTAAAGTATTTTTAATGTTTTACAATTTTTCAATATTATGATTTTTAATATTATCCCTGTGTCCTTTGTCAGCAAAAGAAGAAAAAATTGAGAACACCCCCTCCGCTCCTAAGCCTGCTTAAATTTTTTGACCTAAGAGGTATTTGTGAATTAAGAGGACTAGAAGCTTGCTATGAGAAATATGCATAATTGAATTTACCATACTTTATCTGACTCACCATTTATATAGTTTATACTCGTATACTGCTCCAAGATTGTCTAGATGCCTATATAACATTCCTAGCACCACTCAAAGAAAGTGTAATTAGTTGTAAACCTAACATTGAGCAGAATATCTTAATGTTACGTAAATAATAGAAAACATTTAGAAGTTCTTTCTGATCAGCTCGTAAAACACCACAGCCTCTTTTGTCACTTACCTTGTCATACTTAGCAGGCAATTTGATTTTTTGTCGGTTTGAGTATTTTAGATTGGTGTAAACAAGATGGTTAGTGCTACTGTTACATCGGCTGGTGTCTGCAACTCCACGACTAAGTGCATATTTTGCGTGTGCGCAGGAATGAATCCTATTCAAGCCACCCTGACTCCTCAAGAATCCTAACAAGTTAAAACATTATGACTAAGAGCAAATAAGGTGATTATGCAACTTTTTTTTGGAAGCCGAGGTAGAAATTGTTCTTGCATTTCCCATAGTCACCTCTTAGAACATCCACACAACTCTGCCTGCGCTTTTTTTTTTAATTTATTTTATATACACACATCAAGATACAGAAGCAGTCTTGTAGTAATTTCGTACAAAGGTTCTACTTATCCCATAATTAGCTAAAATATCTTCCAGTAGACCCATAAAAGAAATTTTTTGCAAAAAAAAAATTGCAAACTTAGTGCATACATTAGTACTACTAAAAAATAAATAATATACAAAAAGCTTTTTGGTGCAGACGGCCACCAGCCCGGAATAAGAGAAGGGTTGAATAGAAGTGACAAATGCAGCCGTAAAAGGAGTCAACGCCGAACCTTTGGCGGCGGTCAATTAACCCAACATCAAGACTCACTCAATTTTTTTCTAGTGATTTTGGAGCGGCAATTCAGTGGCCGTGAGAGACTATATCCCCTCTAAAAGACTGATGGTTCCGCCGGAGAGAGTGGGTGTATCCGGTGGACTAACACCCACTTGCGCTAGGACCTGCGCAGTTAAACGCCGTACGCGGGTATGAAGGAGTCTTGGAAGGTTGAGCCAATCGCACTGGGGTATATAGTGGCGAGAAGCACACATTTGATCCGGATTTCAAGCTAGCTTGGAAAAGGCTTATGATGAGAGTGGACAGGGATGTGTTATGGCAAACACTGAACTCATTTGGGTTGAGCGCTGGGTTGATACAGGCGTTAAAGTCTCTCTATAGGGACACTAGTGCTTGTATTAGGATCAACGGGGCCTACTCGGACTGGTTTGGCATCCACAAAGGTGGCAGACAGGGCTGTGTAACTTCCCCGTGGCTGTTCAACGTATTTATGGACAGTTGTTTGGAAAATTTTGAAAGTTGAAGAATGCGGGTTAAGAATGGGTGAGTTAACTGTCAAATGCCTTTTGTACGCCGATGATCAAGTCATATTTGCGTCGTCGGGTTGCAATTGATGGTTACATTAATGAACAGGTCATTAAAAGAAAGGGGAATAAAAGTGAACGCAAGTAAGACGAAAGTTGTGGTTTTTGATAGAGAAGAAAGTAAAATGATATGTGAAATAAGAACAGAAGGGGAGTTGCTCTAGCAAGTAGATGAGTTTTTATATTTGGGATGTGTATTCAGCAGGGATGGGAGATATGATAAGGATATAGAACGACGAGTGAACGCAGGAAATAAACTAAATGGGGCTCTACACTCTATTGTGGAAAGTCAGAATGTATCAAAAAAGGCACATATGGCAATTCACAATGATGTGTTGGTCCCTACTTTAATGTATGGTAATGAAAGTTGGGTGTGGCAGAGGAAGCACAAGAGTAGAATAAACACAGTAAAAATGCAGTTGTTAAGGAGCATGTTAGGGCTGAATCTGAGTGACAGCGTGAGAAATAGTGTAATAAGAGAAGATTTTGCAAGATAATGTTGTGACTAGGATTAAGAATGTTTGGTCATGTAAAAAGAATGAATGAGGAAAGAGTGACAAAGCAAATTTATGTTGTAGAAGTGAACGGAAAAGTCAGAAAGGGACGTCCTAAGCGAAAGTTTATCGACCAAACTAGTGATATATTGAAAACGGGCCAAATTAAGAGTACCCTTTACCGACGAGCATGTATGCGTAGTATATGGATGTGGAGGAGGCGAGAGAAGAGGGAGAGGAGTAGAAGAGGATCTTGCCAAATGGAAGCGTTTTATTATCACATGACATTACTGGATACCGCCACACTGGGGTTATGTCATATGATAAGTCAAATAAAGCTCTTCGAATTATGGAGGATTTTATCAAAAGTAGACCTATCCATATTATGGACTGAGTTAGGCATTCAACCATTGTTTGTAAGAAGAAAATATTTACCATATAAATTCTGTATAAAAAACATGTCAATAGATAATGAAGTGATTAAAATACTGAATGATCTTAGTTCTGTTATTAATAATAGATACTGGCACAATAAAAATATACCATTATGTTTACTTGCATACAACTGTAAATGATGTAATATTCACCATTCTTATCCGTTACAAATGTTTAAACTTAATATTTGGGTATCCCATATACTATTCAAGTGAATTTAGACTGTATTCAAAAGAAGAAAAACAGTCATGAAGCTGTATCTTACAACCAATGTATTAAAGGAATTAAATGAAAAATATGTTAATTGGCACCAAATTGTTACTGATGGGTCCAAGAACCGCTTAGGAGCTGCATATTGTCAACCTAAATAAAAAATTAGAGCTATGTTTAGAACAGAACTAATACTATCGACAATGACGATGGAACTCGTTGGAATATCCAAAGCTTTAAAACATATTAGCAATTTAAGTGGACAAAATTTTGTTATTTTTTTCAGATAGTGCTTTACAACACTTAGCTCGATATATCTCTGGTTATAGCAGAGGTGCACCGATAGTTTATGAGACATGAAACCAATTATATGATTACAGCAGTTGCTAAACATAAAATTGCAATGGGTTCCATCGCATATAGGTTTAAAGGGAAACAAAGAGGCTAACCTATTAGCAAAAGCTGCTTTAACGCAAGAAATCGAATTAAATATTCTATTAGTTTACACGGAAACCTTGACAAAATTCAAAAACCTTTGTTATGATAAATTTAGAGAGTATTTCAATGAAAGAAGCAGGGGTCTTTCTTTGCATCCTACCCTTGGGGGCGGGTTTGCTTCTCGCCGGACGTTCCCAACGTTGTTGCTGATTCTGTAGCTGATGTGGTACTTCAGGGTATGGAACTTTTTATTTCTTCCTCTCTGGTGCCCATCGGAGGCAAATCTCAGCCATGATTTGGTCGCTCCTGTTATATAGCTCATGCTATAAGCAGGAGTGCTACCAAGCCTGGGCAGACGCATCAACGTCCCGGGATGTAAACACCAGCGCTCTAAAAAAGAAGTATAATTCCGTATCTAGGTCCTTCAAAAGAGTCATTGCCAAGGCAAAGTCAGAGCACATAGGCAGAATTGGCGAGAAACTAGTTCGCCTTCCTTCTGGAACCCCTGCATTCTGGTCTCTCACCAAGGCTGTCCAGGAGAAATTCTGTCAGCCATCTCTTCCGTCTCTGCACAGGGAAGACGACTCACTGGCCTATACCCCAAAGGAGAAAGCCGATCTGCTAGGCTCTTTCTTTGCGTCCAACTCGACTCTAGATGACGGGGGGAGTACGCCGCCGACCATCCCGTGGTGTGAGTGCTCCATGCCGGAAGTGCAGTTCACACAGTGCTCATTTCGCAAAACACTCCTCTCCCTGGATATCCACAAGTCGAGTGGGCCTGACGGAATCCCCCCAATTGTGCCGAGAACGTGTCCTCCGGTTTTAACACGTCTTTTCCGGTACTCCTACTCCCTAGGCGTAGTCCCAAAATCAAGGAAGACGGCTTTCGTCCACCCGATCCCTAAAAAAGGCAACCACTCAGACCCGTTCAACTACTGGCCTATCGCCATCACCTCCTTGTTCTCCAAAACAATGGAGTCCATTGTAAACTACCAGCTCATGAAGTACCTTGAGGATCACCAGCTGATTAGTGATCAACAATACGGTTTTCGTCGTGGTCGATCAGCTGGTGATCTTCTGGTCTACCTAACTCATAGATGGGCGGAGGCAGTAGAGTCCAAGGGGGAGGCATTGACCGTTATTTTGGACATTGCGAAGACCGGGTTTGGCACAAAGCGCTTCTTTCGAAGCTCCCTTTCTATGGGCTTCCCGAGAAATTGTTAAATTGGATCACCAGCTTTCTTGCAGATCGGAGCATCAAGGACATTGTAGACTGTGCAAGCTCCGATTACAAGCCTATCAATGCTGGTGTTCCACAAGGCTGAATGCTATCGCCAATGCTCTTTCTTCTGCATATCAATGATATGTTGCAAACCCGTAACAATCATTGCTATGCAGATGACAGCACTGGTGATGCTCTGTACACCGGCCGTACCAATATTTCTCGGGAAAACGTCTCCGAGTACCAGGACAAACTTGTGTCTGAAGTCGAGTCTTTGCTGAACAAAGTCTCGGATTGGGGGCGACGAAATCTAGTCCAGTTTAACCCTCAGAAGACACAAGTTTACGCGTTAACCGCTAAAAAGAACCCCTTTGTCGTATCTCTTCAGTTTCAAGGCACTCCCCTTGTTGCCTCAGCCAGTATCGGAATCCTCGGCGTCGACATATCGAGTGACGTACAGTTTTGTGGTCACTTGGAAGAGAAGGCCAAATTGGCCTCAAAAAAGCTTGGCGTGCTCAGCAGAGAGGGACAGTATTTCATGCCTGCACACCGCCTGCAACTTTACAAGGCGCAGGTTCGGCCGTACATGGGATACTGTTACCATCTCTGGGCTGGGGCTCCCCAGTGCCAGCTCCTTCCACTTGACGGCATCCAGCGCAGAGCGTCTGGAATCGCCGACGACCGAGGGCTTACCGATCGGCTCGATTCACTGGCGCTGCGAAGAGATGTTGCATCTCTTTGCATTTTCTTTTGCATGTACCACGGGGAGTGCTCTGAGGAATTGTTCGGATTAATCCCAGCCGCCAAATTTCGTGAACGCACTACGCGGCAAACCTCTCGATATCATCCACACCATTTGGATGCTTGGTGATCCACCACTGCACATTTCACAAGGAATTTTCTTCCTCGTACGAGCTATAAATAATAATAGGAATAGTTTACCACTGGCGATTTTTCGGGACCGATGACCTGGGGACCTTCAAGAAAAGAGCTTACTCCTTTCTAAAGGGCCGGCAACGCACCTACAATTCCCCCGGTGTTGCGGTTGATCATGGGCGGCGGTAGTCACTTAACATCAGGTGAGCTGCATGCCCGTTTGGGGGCAAAAATTCTATTATACCATAGAATATATATAGAAGAGAGAATAGAATATATTCTATTCTTCTATAAAAAAAGGGAAAAAGGAATATGGTATAAAACAATTCAAAGTCAGCCTCTTTGGATACTGTGATATAATAATATTGAAATAAAAATATGTGTGGCACTCGGTGACTGCCGCGGTAAAGCTATTGCATAGCATTTTTTATCAACTTATGCAATTATAATTATTTATTTATTTTATTTATGCAGTTAAGTCTTTGATATTAAATCAAGTTACACTTTTTGAGAGTGGTGACCGATAAGAAAACAATTTTTTTTCTCTTATTGAATAAATGAGAAGTTAATATTGTTTAAAATATTTTTAATATCTTACAATACATGTAGGTTATGCAGGAATTTTTATCATTCAGTTAGCAGCTAGTGTACACGCATACTTCTAGTCGCACGCACACAAACACCGTGCCGAAGTCTGCCGAGTGCCGAAGTCTGCCGAACTGAAACGACGTTAGACGATGCACGGCTTTCAACGCCACACCTCCGTGCTCGTCGGAGTGGGGAGCGTGAGGTTTTTTCGTTACGGAATTTCTGGATTCGTTCCCCGCGCTCAAGGCCCGCGATAGAAGCTATGCAATAGCTTAAAAATAGAAATCATGTAATTGTTACTACCCCAATAAAAAATTGTATTTTTGATGAAGAACTAGATTAGCCCAATTGTGATATTTGTCACATTATAGGGAAAGGGATAATCTGGTGCAAAAATTTTATATTAATTTGTGTGAAACAGGTTGATTTTTGAGTACACTGGCGACGCCACACACATGGCTGTAGCAAAATCATTAATTTCTATATTCTTACCACATTCATTTCCCCTTTTTTAAATACTTCTTAGTATTTGTGTAACAGGAAAAAGGTAAGTTATGACAAGGCTGACATATCTTTTTAGGATAAAAGCCTTTTTAAATAAAGATAATTTTTAGATAATTTAAAAAAATACAGGTCCTTCATAAACAAACTTTGTCAAAAAGGAGCTAGAGGAGCAGCTAAACTAATTATAGAATGTCATGTGTCGATATTGACTTTATGCTCTGACCATAGATATGGAATCTGTTTCATATTGCAATAAAATACCTTAATAGGCTAAAGTTTCCGCCTGTGGGTTTTGAGGGGACAAACCCTATAACACATTAGTCGCTCCTAGAGGAACAGGTAACAGCTGTTAGTTACTAAAGGCATGATGGATAGCTACCATGAACCATGTCCACAAATCACTCCACCAAGGCATGCTAAGTAAATGGTATGCCAACCGTAGTGGGGTAAAGAACTAGATAAAAAACGTAAGAAGATAAGAAAAGCCCTAAATAGGGCATGAATACCTTAATCAATGAAGACTATACAAAAAAGCTAAGTCTGAGTACAAAAAATGTATCAGGTATCGACGCTCCACTGGGTGACGTAAATTCTGTGATAACATAGAAACCTGTGAACAAGTGAATCGGATAAGGAAAATCCTAGCTAACAAAACACATCAGGATCAATCTTTCTAAAGAATGGAAGCTAGCTAGCAAAGCTAGATGGAAGCTACTCAACATTGCCGGATGAAACCCAACGCATCCTAATTGAAACCCACTTTCCAGGTTGCTGCGTAACTCAGGGACTGGAATTTAGTACAGAGTATCAACAATGGATAAAATCCATTGGGCCATTCAGTTCCTCGTATAAGGCGGCAGGAACTGATGGCATAGGTATAACCGACACTCATACAACGGGGGGAGGGGGTTAAGCCCTAATAGACAGACTTGTTGCTATAATAGGCATGTCTGGCTCTTAAATATGTTCCTAGGGGATGGAGGGAAGTGAAAGTTACATTCATACCCACCTTGCTGGCAACGCACCTGCAATTCCCCTGGTGTTGCAGATGTTCATGGGTGGCGGTAGTCAATTAACATCAGGTGAACTGTATGCTCATTTGCCCCCTCTTCTATAAAAAAAAAAACAAAGTAATATGTCTAAGCTCCTTCATAGACGTAGAAGGTGCTTTTGACAGAACAAACTTCTTTAGCCTAAAAGGTGCACTAAGTAGACATAAAGTTGAACCGGCTCTGATTGACTGGTTAGTTAAACATGCTCAGTACATGAACAATAAAGATTGCTAGTGAATCTTCAACAATTCAGATCAAGAAAGGCTGCCCGCTGGGTGGGGTTCTTTCACCTCTCCTGTGGAATATGGTCATTAATGGACTTATTAGCAAATTAAATGCCAATCATTTCTACACAGTAGGTTATGCAGATGACCTGACAATACTGGTTCCTGGAAATACAGCAAGCACGGTGTGCGACCTGACCCAAACGGCTCTTCATATAGTAGAGAGATAAGGAATATGACTTAACCGTTAAACCAAATAAAACGGCCCTCCAGTAATGTACACACAAAAAAAATGCTGAATAACTATCATCTCCCATTCAGGCAATGCAAAAACATGATTGGCAAACGATGGGGTCTGACGCCAAAAATTATACAGTGGCTGTACAAAACTGTAATTCAGCCCATGATCACATATAGCACTCTAGTATAGTGGACCAAAACTAATGAAGCCACCACTATAAAAAAGCTTCAGCGTTACCAAAGATTCGCATGTATGACTGCCACAGGTTGAGTTTTTTTTTATTTGTTGATTTGGGAAGATTTCATGGCTCAAATAATTGCATTATTCTTGCCCACACGCAAAATACGCCCTTAGACGTGGAGTTACAGAAAACAACCCATTGTTCATCTTATTTTATCTTAGAACATTCACAGGACGAAATGGGGTGATAAGATTATTTTACACCGCCACCACATGGCATTTAATAATGAAATAATGACATCATTTTAGCACATAAAATAATAGTACAAATATGCATACAACATGTGCTAGAAGAGAATATTTTAGCACTATTAAACCAAAACTTCAACTTAAAACTGATTTCTGGTCAGACACTAGTTAGGACATTATGTTTCATAGGTATTAAGATATAAGTTTGTTTGTTTTTTCACCTTTTTGAGCAGTGCTCCTGATCCCAAAACATCTTGCCACTCATCTTTTGGCAACTCAACGGACTTTTCTTTTTCCGCAGCGGCCGCTTCCGCCAGCTTAGCTTCTTCTATTTCGTGAGCTGCAGCCGAAGCTAGGTCTTCAAAAGAACTACTCTCCGACTTATCAACCATAGCTTTCTCTCCTTCACTCATCTAAAACACAGTCTCGTGATTTGCGTAAATAAACTATACGACGTAATGCGATGGCGATTTATAGTTGTGAAACAGCAATATCATAATATACCAATAGCAAAATACACACGCACCTTGCCTATTTAAATCGCAATTAAATATAATACTTTATAGTTTTATTTTACTCCAATTAATTTTATCGAATATTTACATTACAATTAGCAAAGCAAAATACGTGTACAAAAAATAAAGAATGACACTCAAGTTTGCGAAATATGAATGGATTGATTTTTTTGATTGATTATGATTGACAGTTGACGAATTCGATTCGATTGAACTAGAGAATGAAATTAGATTTTTTTCTTTATTCTTGGATTCGTATTATTGTACTTTTGCCAGTGTCAAGTATATGAAATAATTTCAAAAAAGTTTTGAAACAAATTATTATAAATGATAATTATTATCATTTATAATAATTTGTTTCAAAACTTCTTTACATTATGTTGATGCGTGACGCATTGTGAAGTTTTTGGGAGATTAAACGGGAGCTTCAGTCAGCAGATAGTCGATGACGATAATGTCTCAAGGCGCCTAAGCAGACACCATAAACAGTTTCATCTAAAAGGCAAGTACGAGCAAGCGCCTGATCAAAGTACGTTACGGCACAGAATAAATAATAATCCAAGAACAGAAGGATCACTCTCTGATAGCAAACTTGCGAGTTTAAACCTAGTTACAACGTCGCTAATGTTTATAATTTGCACGCCTGAAAAGCGACCTTTGTGAAATTAGCATACCGACCGTGTGCCACATAAATTATTTCAAATAAAAAAATTAAATCAAAATGCACCTTAACTCCGCGTGTGGCATCTGTTTCACTTAGCTCGTTACGCGCCTTTCTTAAGGCCGCTCCTACTGTAGGGTTTTGTGTGAAAACAAATTGAATCCTTTGATATTATATAGTTGGTAGTAGAATACACAGATGTGTTATGCAATGTATGCAATGAACTAGTAATTTGCTGATAATAAGAACATTAGTGTTCATTGTGAGGTAGGCTAATATGCAACATATAGAACAATTAAAATTATAACAACGTGAACGTCTTTGAAACTCAAATAATTTACCTACTTACCATTTTCTGTTTCACATTTTATTGCTTTTTACAAACATGCAACACGCTACGTTATTAATGAAAGAGTAGCAATGGGAAGTGCAACTATTTTCAATCTCTTTCTGTTAATCGACCAAGTGTACAAAATTTAAAAAAAAAAATTGTACAAAAAGTTGAAATGTCTGGCCACCACCAGCTCAACTCCCCTTCTGGGCAGCTGCTTTAGGGCCACGGTGGTAATGCCGTTGCATCCCGGTGCTTTGCGGTTAGGTAGGCGCATGATGGTACGCCTTACCTCCGCTGGCGAGATAAAATCCTTGCCTCGCAATGGTGGTGCCGGGTGCGACAGGTATTCCTGTACACGGTTTTCTACACTCTTGGTGTACTCCGCGTACCCCTCTGCAATGGGATTTGGTGTAAATTGTATTTGGAAGTGCTGTGCCATCATTTCCGCCCTCTGCTGGGCGTCATAGATTCTTTTTCCCGTGTTGTCCACTGGTGGGCAAATAGGAGGTGGTGTTCTAGTGAGCTGCCGGTTGAGGAGGTGCAAGGAGGCGGGTGTCTCCCAGGCTTCGTCGACTCGCCTCTCCCGTGTGCGCTCTGATCGCCACCGACAACTCTTCTGTTATTCTGTTGAGTTGTGTTTTGATTTTTGGGCACCGTGTTTGTGCCCACAGCTTTCTCAACTTCCGCTTTTTGGTGAGTTGAAGTTTTAGTTTGTGAGGGAGTTCCTCCCCCCCGGCGCCCCGTGGAGACAGGGTGTGAGGAGAGTTCCAGTTGTTGATTGAGTGTGGTGTGCAGAAGCAATGCCGCTGTCTCCACACATCTTCTAGGGTGGTCATGGAGGCACCGAGTCAGAAGTCCTCCAGTGCTTTGCGGAAGCGTGTCCATTTCGGCCGCATTTTCGGATCTTTGGGCACTACGGCGTCCGCATCGGTGTCTACAACACGGGGGAGGTGCTGCGTGTCCAGATCTTACAGCACCTCTAGCCGTATTCTGAACGGCACTTGATGGCACAACACAATGTCCACGACATCGGGTTGATGAGTGGATTTGGAGGGGACGTGGGTGGGCTCATCTGGACCCAGTACCTCATATCCCCACTCTTCAGCGTGTTCGAAGAGTTTCTTACCAGGAGGTGTGATTATCGCGGAGCCCCAAGCAGGATGTTTTGCATTGAGGTCTCCGGCGATAATTGCAGGTGTTGTTGCATTAAATATAGTACTTAAATCCTGGGGGGCTAACGAGGTACCGGGAGGTCTGTAGGCGGCGAAGAACCTCATATCCGTGGTTCCCACCCTCATCCTTATACCCTCATGGATATGAAATCGTGTATGGTGTCAACTTCCTCGTGCATGACGTCCCTCCTCACAAGGGCCACAGTAGCTCTGTACGCAACACCTTCTGGGGAGATCTCGTCGTGACGATACACGAAGAAGTTGGGAGCTTCAGTTTTGCAGAGGGATGCAGTTTAGTTTCTCCCAGCAGCACAACCTGGCCTTTGTACTGCTGGAACAGCGTGCTCAGTTCGGCGACCATCTCTGTGATGCCGCCAGAGTTCCAATATACTATTTTAGTTACCTTGCCCTCTGCTGATGTTCGACAGTTGAGCTAAGGCAGTGAGAATTGCCGCTAGTGGGTTGGTACCTGTGGCCATTGCTGTTAAGACCTCTCCCAGGATTTTGATAACCACTCCCACCAGCTGTGCGAGGGCCTCTTCTAAGGTGGATGGTATTACGTTTTGTGTTTGTTGTTGGTGTCCGGTCTCTATGGTCCGTCTTTGGGATGGCTCTCGGGGTTGGCGGTTAGTTGTTTGAACACTCTGGATGGGAGCAGGGAAGGGCGCTTGGCGCGGCTGCTGTGGCCGCTGCTGCGTGGTAGCAATAGGGGGAGGAAGTGGAGTAGACGTGCCTACTACTGCATCCAGTGCGGCTGCCTTCTTCTTCTTCCTCCCTTTCCTCTTTTTCTTCGGACGCTCTGTGCGCTCGATGGGGTTGTTTGCCGGTACTGTCAGGGTCACCCCGGTTACGGCGACCGTTGGCGCCGGTGCGGGTGTGGGCAGTGATTGTAGCTGCGGCGGTTGTTGGGTATGCATTTGCGGTTGTGGTGGTATAGTTTGGCGTTGTGGTGCCCGTGCTGCTTGCATAGGCATTGGAGGCCGTAGGACTATGCCCCTCTTGCGCGAAATACGCTCCAGCACAGGGCACCGCCTGTCGTTTGCCGCGTGAGCCTTCGCGCATTCTGATGCGGCGTGATCTCCCGCGCAGCGGAAGCATTTTATTGGTCTGTAGCAGTTATAGGATGCATGCCCGAACCCCTGGCATCTATGGTATTGGGGAAGGCCGGCTTTACCTTGCCAACCCTCTATTGAGATGCCGGGCATGTAGAGCAGCTCATCTATTGCGTATAGGCGTTTTTGTTCTTCTGGAGGGAGGTGACTAATTTTTACATGAAAGAGACAGCCTGGCCTCTTTTGGGGGAGGGGCGATCGAGCGCACAAAGGTCACTGGAAAGCCCTTTGCAATAAGAGCCTCCATTATGTCTTGTGGGTCTGTATCAGCGGGGAGCCCTCTAAGCCCCACCTTCGTGGGTTGTTCCTCTTGAGGAGCGTAGCAATACCACTCGAAGGGGGTGTCCTCTTTGCTACGCTCCACAAAGTATTTCTGTGTGGTGCGGTTATTCTTTTTCTGTTTGCGGCCAGAACCTGACTCCCTTACCAAATGGGCGGGCGTTCGGGGCATGGCCGAGCAGTTGGTGGAGGATTTTAAAGTGCCTCGCCCAGTTTGGGAAGCAATTCTACTATTATGGGCGTTAGTTTGTGTTGCTGCTGCGGGCTGCTGTGGCCTCGGAGCAGGTGCTGGTGTCGGCGAAGGTGGGGCTGTTGTAGGGACGGCAGCTATCCGTGTATAGCTGTCCTGCGCCGAGGATGGTCCAGGTGTGGGTTCAAATGCCACTTCGTCTTGCATTGGGGCAAGAGTGGCATATGAAGAACTATCCGTCGGTTTTCCCCCCTCTGGATCTTGCTCCCCGAAGTCCTGCATCTCCATTTGCACGCCTATCGGGGCGGTAGTTGGGGAAGGCGTGTCTGGTGGCGAGTTATGTCTCGCCACCGGCTGTTTTTGTGGTGGAGTCGGTGTGTTAGTAGTGGTGGTTGCAGAGGATGAAGACGAGGCCTGTCACGCTCACCCGGGCGCCTGTCTGGTGGTTTACGGCGATTCGGGGGTTGTTCCCCTTTGTCCGACATAATGTGGGTAGTTTTATATCACTCACGGTATAAAAACGGGTAGTTATACAAATTTAAAAATGGGTAGCTAGGAATAAATTTTTTAAAAGCGGGTAGGAATAAAAACTTTGCTAGGAACGTTGAGCTCACTCCGTGAGGCGTTTAGGCGTCGCTGGCATTCTCCGAGACGGATTGAAAGGTAAGTGAGCACAAAGAATACAACCTAGTTATGGTTACAGCAGCACCACCCGTAATACGTAAAAAGTGTCCATCAGCATAAATACATAAACGCTGAGTATGTAGTAATTTAAGTAGACTGTAAGCATAGGATTAAGAATTGTAAAAGACAATGGTCAGAATAAATTCACATCCCACTCTGTAAACACGTAGTTTTAATTAGTTTTTAAAAAGCTCTCGGCAGCTCCCGCAACTTGACTGCGGCTGCGCCAGTAGGATCACCGGAAAAGCTGTGCCACCGTTCGTGAAATTCGCGTATACAATTTTACCCATTTTCGCGCATCGGCGGGCGATTCATACAGCGTGGTGATCCAGCGAACCAAAACGAATTCGTCGAGAATAAGGAGCCGTGAAGCTGATGATGGGCACTGCGGGCTGGTGAGTACGACTCTTCACCTCCTTCATATCCCTTAGTAAACTTGGAATTAGACATTTTCCATTTTGACTGTTATTTGGGTTTCAAATACTGATCTTACGTAAATTTTAAAAAGTATTATGTGCAATAAATAACTATTAAAATAAAATAACTATTAAATAATAAAAATAAAAATAATATTAAATTAATTGTAATACGTACATAATATAAAGTCCCAAGATTACTCAATGAAGTTATAGAGTAATATTAAGTATATTAAGTATTATACATTATATTAAGTTCTTATTGTGTCTACATGTGTTTGTTAATTAAAGATTACTCGACACGTAAACGTGTACATAATAGATTAGTACTTATACTCGAATTTTCCTTACAACATTTGTGCAACTAGTAGAGTTATAATAAATATTTTATTTTATTTCTTATTTTTGTGTAGAACCAGTGAATAAATTACTAAAAATGTCGGAAATTAAACTTATCCCTAATGAATTAACTAAAATAATACCAACATTTGGCGGCGATAAACGCCATTTAAATTTATTTTTGCGTAAATGTGAATATATAATAAGTAACTTTAAATCATCCGATGTGCAAAATGAATACATGATGCAAATCATTCGTCTTACGGGCGAAGCTGCGTCGCTTATCAGTGAACGGGAAGATATAAAGACGTAGGCGGAATTCAAGGAATTGTTTTTAACTCACTTCACGTAGCGAAGAATGTTTAGCCATTGAATTAGAAACTTTAAAGAAAAACCAAAATGAAAATTATATAGATTTTTGTGGTCGTATACAATCCGTTAAATCAGTGCTATTGTCGAAGGTTAATCAAATTGGTGATAAAAACTTAAAAATAAGTAAAACTGTTATTTATAATAACACCGCTCTGCAGGTTTTCATATATAATTTACCCAAAAATATGGTGCGCATTGTTAGGTTGAAAACACCGAGTACACTAGAAGAAGCACTAAGTATAGTTCTAGAAGAAGTAAAGTTCTATGACCAATATCAGATGCGTAGTAAAATGTTACAGTCTAGCCATACGTCTAAGCCACAGTCTAGTAATATACCAGTGCAACAACCATCGTTTAAGTTCGCAATGCCAACACAACAATGGCTTTAGACCAATGTTAGCACCAAACCAACCCCCTAGGCAGAATTTCGGAACACCACCTCAATTTAAGTTTAGCATTCCCCAAAGTAGATAAATGAAGATTCCGTTACCACAAAATAAGCCTCAACCGCAAATGAGTTCCCCTAAGCAATATCACCCACCTCAGTTTGAATACCGACCTAATTTTGGATACCAACCAAACTTTGCATTTAGACCCCAGGGCTATAGCCCCATGCAACCAATGTTAACCACAACAGTTTGGTAATTCTCAGCGTTTTAACTATCCTAGTAATAATAATGTGCATAATATTCATTCGGCCTCGCTCGCTCATGTCGATCGGACGTTTGTTTGCGGCGAATAATTTTGTGTCTAACAGCATTATGTCAAAGTGTGAAAAATGCTACAAAAATAGTACAAAGGCTCGTCCTGGTGTGGAGTGTCATGGTTGTGAGAAGATGGTGCATCTGAACACAGAATATTCAGGGCTTACCACCAAACAAAGGAATGCGCTTCGGACAAATGAAAACCTAGATTAGTCGTGCTCTGAATGCAAAAACACTTCATCAAGACGAACTTCGATTGTGATACCTGAAGATGACAATGATGATAATGATGAAGCATTTGAATCGCCTATAACCTCAGCCTCTGTTCCATTAGATGGTAAAAAATTGTTGCTAGAAATATCAACAAAAGTGGAGTGTGCTACAACGTCAATTGAGCCAGTTTGCAGAGTCTTTGGAATTCAATTCTAGAAAACTTGATATACTCGAAACCGTAGACGCATTTAAAACTACAGTCAAAGAAATAAAAAAGAAGAATATCAAATTATCTAACCAAAATAAAAACTTAGAATATAGAATCAGTGCATTAGAACAGCGTTTACAAGAACAAGAACAGCAACAGCTTAATAAAACTATTGATATTTTTAATATCCCATTCACTGACAACGAAGATCTTTTAAACGTCGTGCAAAAAATACAACAAAAACTTGAATTAACAGAAAACATTATAGAAGTAAAGCGCTTTGGTTACAATAGAAATAATTCCGGAAAACTCTGTGTGGTTCTACCGTCAGAAACTGTTAAAACAAAATGGCTTACAAAAGCAAAGGATGCAAAGGTCATGGTGAACGATATCTTGCCTAGCGCATCACCGATGACTGGTAAAGAAACCATCTACATAAATGAGGCATTAACCATATACAATAAGACCTTACTTGGAAATGCCAGAAGAGAACTTAAGAACAGTGGAGTATACAAATATATGTGGTGCAAAAATGGAGTTATTAGAGCAAGAAAAAGTGAAAAAGATCAATCGTTCATAATAAGAACTGATGATGACATTAAAGCCTTACTACAAAAGGAAGCCCATGTACAGCCGCAATAAATTATTCTATATAGGTATTTAATTTCAAAAAATATATCAAAAAGGTTTTTTTGTTCTTTAATGGACATACAGTTAGACGATATTTGTGAATTGAGTAATTGTTCTAACATAAATTCATTTTTAAATCATATTCCTGTTAAAAATTATCAAACTAACCTTTTATGCATGCATATAAATATAAGGTCCTTGAATAAAAACTTTGATGCTTTAGAACAATGTGTGTACTATTATAATGGTAACGGAAGCTAATATATCTGACTACCTAAGCGATATGTTTAAGGGTACACTAGTCGCTTATTCTTCCATACAAACGTAGTCTGGCGATTACTCCACTGTTTGATGGTGTACGTCAAAATAAAAAATGATTTCAATTTTTTTCATCATTTTCTAGCCCTGTATGGAAACAAAAAAGTAAAAAAAGAGTATGTTTAAAAGTTATAAGCGTCGAAAATTCCAAATTTCAACACTAGTTTTAACACATCTTTGGGCGGAAATAAATACCATAAGAAGAACGAAAATTGCAAAACAGTTACCATACAGGGATAGATTAATTGTTCAAAAATGCAAATAATTTTATTTTAAACAGATACATTCAATAGATTTTTCATGACATCCAGACTACCAAAGGTCTGTTTATAAAATTTCGCGCGCCCGTTTTTGTTGAAAATCATCTTGCCTTTCGCTACAAATTGTTTCCTCGATCAGTGGGACGGATTGACGGAGGGGGGGGGGGGGGCGCACTCACACATACTAGGTTA